AGACAGAGAATCACATCAATGGAGAATACTTTGCCACCATCATCAAGGTCACCTATATAAAAAGAACAGATACGAAACATCACAGAAAAACAATTCTAGAAAAATGAGTTTGGATAATGAAATAACATCCGGAAAGGAGATGTTAAATTGCTTTCTGCCAAATAGATAATCTATTATGCACACACACACACTTTATGTGAACTGAACCTGAATCAATGTTTGTGTAAACCAGGAAGTAGCCACTGACCTGGAGGAAGCCAAGTACCAGTATGCTGAGCCTCGTCTGTCCATCTACGGCTGCAATCCCAACGAGTGGACCAAGCTCGCCGGCTGGTTTGTCAAGCACAGAGTCTACTCCCCAAACCTCAAATGGATGATTCAAGTACCCAGGATCTAGTACGTTTTCAATCTCTATTTTTTTTTTTTTTCATGTTGGACCCAACTGTGATACAGACAAAAAGGTTTAATAGATGGCTAGAATTCGTGTTTAAATTAATTTATTGTGCCCCCCCCCACCCCCTTTCTATCTTAGTGACATCTTCAGAGGCAGGAACTTTGTGCCCCACTTTGGCAAGATGTTGGAAAATATTTTCCTTCCCGTGTTCCAGGCCACCATTGACCCACAGTCCGACCCAGAACTCAGCATCTTCCTCAAGCATGTGAGTCAGAAACAGTCACAAAAATCTGTCATAGATAACAGGGATGATCACAACAGCTCAGACACAACAAGACACCAGATCTTATCTTGGTCAATGGACAGATTGGCTTGCCACGAATTAGGGACTGTATGAAAATTACTGGGGTGGGGAAGGGTGCTGAATCTTATATTTTAATTTTTTTTTTTAAAGCAAGGCCTTCTCCAGCATGATTAGTATTTTATTTTGAACATTCCCTTCGATTAGAAAAACTACAATACCCTCCTAAAATGTCTAAAAATAATAAATTTAATGATAACATAATGATGAAATTACTGCAACTCTCTATTTTTGAATAAAGAGCTGCAAAATTAACAGCCATTAAAGCCACCATATGAATGAACAGCTGACATGCCTTGTCTGACCCCACCTTCTCCCCTAATAATTTTTGTACGGTCCGTTAAGGATCCCATTATGGGATAAGTGCCCTGAGAGCCCTCTGTTCTGTGTATAATTAACCTTTTGCCTCCTGGCGTGTAGGTGACAGGTTTCGACAGTGTGGACGATGAGTCCAAGCACAGTGGTCACATGTTCTCCACCAAGAGCCCCAAACCAGAGGAGTGGGACATCGTCAAAAACCCCTCCTACACCTACTACATCTACTACATGTATGCCAACATCGCTGTGCTCAACCAGCTCCGCAGGTCAGTAACGCTCAGTGAGTGCGTCATGACAGTAACAGTTCCTCTAAGAATATGTGTCCTTTCCATACTATAACACTCATTTATCTTCTGCTCTCCAGACAGAGGGGGATGAACACATTCACGTTCAGGCCTCACTGCGGTGAGGCCGGTGCCATCACCCATCTGCTGGCTGCCTTCATGACTGCTGACAACATCTCTCACGGTCTCAACCTCAAGAAGGTCCGTACTCTTTTTACGAGATAAAATGGCAGCTTAATTAGGAGCAGTAATACATACACTGATTTGATCTAGCGCCCATTTCTAGGTGTTAGACCTGTAAAGTAACCATAAGGTTTCCATTGTCCTTAATACAATATAATATGAAAGACCTGCTTCCCTATACTAGAGACATTAAAGTCAATTAGCAAAGACGTTTTCTTCTTGACATAATCTCTTATCTGAAAGTACCAAAAGATTTTCTGTCTAGATACATTTTATTTAGGAACTATGTAATTAAAGGCCATAAGGACCACATTCTCAAAGAGTTCCCAGAGGGAAGAAAAACCCTTTTAGGGCCAGTGTTTGAAATCTGGATCTAATATGCTCTGTAAAAAATCAGGGTTGGTAATGATTGGAGTAAGAATGGATTTTACCCTGGATCTTTCTTGATCCTTAACTGTATTAATTGGTGTTGGGTTATTACAACAATCTTGCTTTTCTATGTTGGTAAGTGGATATTTTGGCTACTGTACAATTGATAGTCTAATGCCAAGTGCGGTCTCAGATTTTAGATTAATCTTGTGAGTAATCCTGCAGTTAATACATAATTTATTTCCCTGTAAGGAAATTTGCCTGCTTTATTATCAAAAATAAAAGTAAAAAAAAAAAAATTTAAAGTTCCAGGCTTTGACAAATAATGTCATACATTGACTAAACTGATCATATTTATCTATCAATCCTCCACCACCAGAGCCCTGTGCTGCAGTACCTGTACTTCCTGGCCCAGATCCCCATCGCCATGTCCCCTCTCAGCAACAACAGCCTGTTCCTGGAATATGCCAAGAACCCCCTGCTGGAGTTCCACAAGAAAGGCCTGGTGGTTTCTCTGTCCACTGACGACCCCATGCAGTTCCACTACACCAAGGTCTGAGCACACAAAGACCTTTGATCATAATGTAGACAATGGTGCATACTGTGCTGCATATAAAGAGTATTGTATTGTGAACATCTACAGATCAATGTATTATACTTTTCTTTGCAAGTCTTTGTACTCATACTGTACCGGCAAAGTCATTTACAGCACACTCAAACGGAAATAGAACACAATATACATTGAACACAGTTACCTCTGGAAAATGATGCTATCCACAGTTCAGGGTAAATGTGTATAGTGGAGCTGGTGGAGGTCCCTTTTGAGCCAGCTCAGTAACTCAGAGGAGTGTAAATCTTGGCCGTTACATCCACAGGAGCCCCTGATGGAAGAGTACGCCATTGCAGCCCAGGTGTTCAAGCTCAGTACCTGCGACATGTGTGAGATCTCCAGGAACAGCGTGCTGCAGAGCGCCATGTCTGATGAGGTAACACACCTGATGGAGAGCTTTAAATGTGGTGACTTCTTAATGAATTGCTTGTAGGATTTCTTCTTGTTTTTTATTTTTAACAGCATCTTTGGTGCAAATCAGTAATTGTAGTGGTTTTTCTGCACTTAAAAGCAACTCCTCACAGACACACTGATTCTATCCTCACACCATACAGACCGATCTTAAATCGAAGCGATAACACATCATGTTCCACTTTTTTTTTATACTTGCACCAAAACATGCTTGTGGTTGTCCTCTGTGCTCCAGGAGAAGATCCACTGCCTGGGTCACGATTACCTGAAGGAGGGTCCAGAGGGCAACGACATCCGCAAAACCAACGTGGCCCAGATCCGTATGGCATATCGCTATGAGACCCTGTGCTATGAGCTCAACCTCATCAAGGAGGGCTTGAAGTCTGACTAAACACTCTAAAATCCGCTCAAAACCCATCTTTATTGTGACGTAGAAATGTTTCTACACTTGTTTTTCACAGTAACTCTTAAAAAAAGAAGGAATCTTAAAGACACTGGCCTTCTAATACACTGATGCTCTCTCATTTGGAGGAAGAACCTTTTTGATAATTGTCTTCACTGTATATCATCTGCACATCCTGTCCAATCGACTGAGAAACATCATGTATAAGAATGAAAGGAAATAAAATGTGAAATAACAAGTGTCTTTGTGTGGTAGTTGATGCATTTCATAATTTAATCAGTATTACATTGCATTCATTTTATTTACTTGACAGCAGGATCTTGTCTAGTTGTGTTGATTTTGTGACTTGGCAGTGCTACTGGCTCCTGCCTTCAGACGTTCCTCATAAGTAAAACTTGATATGCACTCTTATTCTGCACCTTATTTCTTTTGCACAGTGTACAAACGGGGATTTTTTAGATGCTTCCCTTTAGAGGTTCAGCTGCGCAGACATTTAGCTGTATCAGCAGAACAAAGACGAAGAATGTGCCTAATCACTTTATTAGTCTGAGTTGTTGCATCCCTTTTGCCATTACTTATTAACAGAGGCTGATGATATCTGCCATTTCCCGTCAAGGCACACCCCTGTTGAACATCAAAGCTAAAGTTAACACTCTATAGCTGGATTGAGTTCACATTTATCCTTGGATGAAGATCAAGTCTGAGATCCATTTGGAAGTCATTTCTAAAAGCAAAATGACACCAGGGGAATTCAAGAAAGCTACCCGCTTTAGGCCTCCAGTCTGCTCAACCGTATAGATTCTTTGAGTGAGTTGCAAAATTCTGATGATAATTATCACCTGCTGCAAAATAGACATTTCTATATTACATTTATTGAGGGAACTGAATGAACACATTACTTATACAATGTGTTTTTATCAAAGCCTCTCAACACTTAAAACGCTGTCCATCACTTCCCTGCACCAACACATCACGCCTGTACTTTACAAATGAAGAGTAAAGTACGGTCATATTTACTGACTCATGTAGTCGCGCAGGTGCAGCCCATAACACAGTGTCTATATTTCCCAGGACACTTGAAGACAACAGTATTTATTCATCGCTGACAGCTGCAGCGGTTGATGTGATGACGTCTTCCCTCTTGCATCGGGAGGATTCAACAGAACTTTCTCACAGTCGCCGCTGCGTCAAGCTCAGCAGAAACACCGAGAGTGCAACCGGAAGCCAGGCGACTTGCCTAGAAAATAAGTTATAATGAAGATATAAAAAAATTAAAAAATGACAAAGTGGGTGTGCAGTAGAGGTGGGGAAACTGTGGGTAAACTTTAGTTCACCCACCTTTTTCAACATATCCTCCAACCATTTGTGCATTAAAATTGCATGTGTGTAATAATCACATTATAAAATACTAAACCAGAATAACATCCCGTCTACAGTTTTTAATAATAATATGTTTGCCTTCAACATTCATAACAAGATGAAACTGGAAATGGGTTATCAAAAGAACATACAAATGTAGATTTTAAAGGTGACGATGCACAAGTAATGTGTGTCATTTCACTTTGTAAGTTGAGAAAACTTCAGAGAACTTCGCCGGTCAATTAAGGATTTTATTTTGGAAGCTACAACCGGAAAGGATGTGGGTTTTGGCTGGTTTGACTAATTGTTCTGAGAAGGAGGGCGAGGAGTGTTCTGCTTTACTTTTCTCTGGTCTATGGACACTTTCTTTGTTGTTATGTCCAGTTATTAGCACAGGGGACACGTTTTTATGCCTCATAAGAGTTTATTTTCTATTAAGTTACCAATAACTGCCGGTGGACTCCAACGTTAGCCTGGATTTATTCAGACTGCTAGCTAACCTCTCCAGATTGAACGATGCGGGCGAGCGGATTTTATTTGTGTATTTCATTTTATCGAAAGGAAAATGAGGGAAGAACATAAATTCTGCTCCTACGAGGGGTAAGTCTTGAGACATGTAGTTTATGCATATGCCCATGTGCCATTTTGTTGTAATATCTTACCACGCAACTTCTCTGACTAACTCAACGTAATGTCTTTCTCCTAATTAACGCTGTTTAGTTAAACGAGTTAACGTAAGAGCTGTTGCATTCAGTAATTCAACATTAACCAATTGTTATCCGTATAATGCAATAAAAGTAGTTGCTTTTCCCCAAAACTTGTCCATATAGTAAACAATTCAACGCTAAACTCTATTGAAAGTATGGGGAGTTAAAGTGAGTTTATTATCAGTAAATATAGTTTTATTTTACTACCAGTATGAAGTCCTGTTGTTCAGTACGGCACGCTTCCAACAATTAAACGGGGCTTTTTAGTCCAATATAAACCTTCAGAGGCAACCATAACGTTATCCCTGTAACGTTATCGCTATTCCAACATACAACTCAGGCACTGTAAACCAGTTGGCTGCTTTAGGTTTTTTTTTTTTTGGCCTTTTCTTAAAGCCGAATTACAGAGTAGTTCTGAATGAGTCAGGGGAGTGATTGAGTTTGATTTCTATGAAAGTAAGGCTTTGAAGTACAGATGAAAAAATGTTAATTTCTGTAGTTTTGAGAGGGAGTTTGGCTAGATGTTTTCTTCTCAACAGAGAACGAGGGCACTTACTGGAGCTCGAAGCGAGGCAGGTTTTTTTTCTCTCTCGTTCTGCATCTATCCCCATTTTACTGCAGTTAAGTCATTGATTATCTACACATGTTACACAGCAATACCGGGAATCGGCTAATTCAGGTCACAGAGTTGGCTAAGGTCATTGCATAGAGGAGAGCTACATGGAAATATTGTGCAGGTGTTGCTAAATGTAGAAAAATCAGTTGAGTTAAAGAATATCTGACTATAACTGAAGAAATCTGAGAGGTATATTCCCCTAAACCCCTCAGAGAAAAGGGTCAAAGCCACAGCAGGAGCACGGTTAATTCATGTGCATTCACTCTGTGCTAAAGCTCTAAAGTTTAACATTAATGTCAATTTTTTGATACTCTAGCCTTCTTTGTGTGAGTTTAAGAGATCATTTCGAGACACTCTGAGCACAGTGTTCTCCACAACCACTGACACCAAATGATAGAACATGTCATGTTAAAGTGGTCTATCTTTCTCTCACCGACGCTGTCAAAATGAGTGTCTGTATGCACACAAGCTGTTCTGGTGGCCGCTGATGGATAAGTCATTTCAAGGCACTTCGTCTTGGTGTGTCCTTTCATGCTGGCATTTAGCAAACCCACATTTTTCCTTTTATTATAGCCTCAACTGTCACTGTTGATGGCGAACCACAGTCGTACAATACCTCACCTACAACATGTTGTGACACGCCGCACTTCTTTGGGGAGGGCGTTTTGTGGTGGTTCTGAAGGTGCAATTAGGTTGAATTTAGCTGCCAAGTGATGACGGGGTACTTGAGCTTCATGGGTCCCCTGTCTGGTTTCTACCTTGATGAGTCAAGAGAGTTTCACTAGAGCATACAAGGATACCTCTCTGCGGAGTTGACAGCCTCATACATATCAGTGAAGTTCACTTTGACTTACCCTCTGGCATTGTCACTCGATATCACAGCACCTCACAGTTTGCCTCACCAGCAATAACATTAGATTCTAACTGTGCGCATGGGAAAGGGGAAGCTGACAGTTTTAGACATGTTTGCGAATGTTACTGCAACCAGCTAGTAGCTGCTATATTTCTGGATTGACTGCGTTTCAAAGACAATGTTTGATTACTATCACAGGGTTTGGATATAGATGATCTAAACATAGCTCAAATCAGTGGTTGCAACTGGGTGCAAATCTCTCCACACCATAATTATGGACAGTCTGCTGATCCTTCTTCCTGCAGCTCAGGAAACACAACTCATGCCTTCCTGTACAACACACCGCACACAGACAAATAATGCAAGTGGGTCAGCTTGGGAGTCGCATTGTCACTGCATGGTCTGGCAATGATCGAGCGGCATTCCAGTATGCGCACGTACATTTGATTTAGGTCAAACCGAACAAAGGCGTCACTTGGAAGACTGACGGACCGACTGTCTCTAGTTAAATGTATTCCCCGACCCCCCCCCCCTCTTGTACAGCTCTGCAGGAATGCAGCTCATAGAGTTATTATGATCATGAGCTGCGGAGTGGAATTTTACCATGTCTCCCCTTCTCCACATTCTCTCAGCCTCGGTCCTAATGTGCAACGTGTCCAAATGGTTTGGTTCCAGCGAGCCAGGAGCTGCTGTACGAGAGTGTACAGTGACCGCATTGATGTTGATTCAGGGAATGTGAGTCAGGGTGGATGCCGCTGCAGAGCTTTACATCAAGCCTCTGTGTCTGATAGCATTTGATGAGAGGGAGCGAGGCCAGAGATTATAGCATTATACCATACACACTCTAATCCAACTCATCAGTTAATTACAGACACTAGTCGCGTATGTTTGTATCTCGCGTCTGATAAATGGCTATAGGAGCTTTTATTCCGCTGCGTAGATAGGTGTGGTTTCCATCATTTACCTAGTCGTCACTGGCTCTTTATGTACGCCTTGAGATTAATATGGTTTTTCTGCCTCTAAAGCTCTTTGAAATCACTTTGAAGTCTTCCCAGTCATCTGAAAGACAGCCTTGCAAGACAACTAAATTAGATTTAATGCTTTGCTGTATCTTTGGCATTTCATATTTGGCCAGCTATGTGGTTAAGACATCAGACGACAGCTACAGAGAATACAGAATTCCCCCGGGGCTAGTGGAGGGTTGGGGCGGCTCAAGACACAGACACATAGCAGCAGAAATCTGCGGTAACCTTGTTCCTGTCACTGTCTTTCCTTATTCTTATTTTTTGGAAACCGACCTTGACAGGAGCCTGTCCTTTCTGACCTTCTCTCTGTCCCTGCCTACAAGTTGGAGAATGCTTCAGATGTTGCGCCGTTTCAAAAGACAGCACACCGTAGGGTCAAAGGGATCCCTTTGACCCTACGGTGTGCTGTCTGGACTTGTTTTTAAGTGCAGTGATTGATGAGTCATTTTTTGTGTCTTGTCTTTTTCTTTCTAGGTTGTTTACAAAAGGAGACAAGGGGGAAATAACACTCTGCTAGCACAAGAAGACGCATACAGACACAAAGGAAGCATTTACAACCAGAAACCTTGTGGCGCTCCTGCTTTTACTTATCATTTCTGGATTCATAGACAACAGATTACGTGGTTTTTCCTGTCCGTCTTTGCGAGGAAACCCCTGATGCATTCCCCAATGGAGGACTGAGGGTGAGCTGACACTTGCCCCCTCTCAACATGCTGGCTCTGAGGCTGGAGCAGGGCAAGCGAGAGGGTGGTGAGGTTGATCGCCTGCAGAAAGGGGCCACCGTGGCCTGGCAGGGCCGCCAGGCGGGGAGGCCCCCTTCTCACGAGCAGGGCATTAACATCAGGGAGAAGATCTCCCAGTGGGAAGGTCGCAGTCAGCAGGGCAGCAGCCAGGATGCTGGGGTGAAAGCACACCCTCCGGCTGTATCCCGAAGTCTGTCTGGAGATGTACTGGGCAACGGATGTTCCAACGAGGGATCAAGAGGGGGGCTTCATGCGAAAGCCAGCCTCTCAAAAGCTAAGAGCTTAGATTTTCGGGAATCCCCATCACAGGCTGGGCACGGTGTGGTTGGTAGGAAGTCCGAACCTCTGCAGAAATGTTCCACCGAATTTTCAACCCCAGGAAATAAACCACTTGCAGCACAAACATTTGCGTCTCCCAAAGTGGAGGCTAACACTGCTAACTGTACAGGTAGACAAATCATCTCTGCCAATGGCGACCAAAAAAGGGATCGCATCTTGGATGTTGAAGTAGTCTCTAAACCTCTACCTCTATCGACTTATGACCAAGACGACAACATGCCTGCGGGGAATTTCTACACTTCACGGGGTTTCTGGCGTAAGCTCGAAGGGGACAGACTGCTCTGGGAGAAAGGCAATGACTCCTCAGGTGAAGCTCAGGCTCCTCCCAAACCTCAGCGGACATTCCAGTATCGGGGAACCAACAACAGCAACGCAGGACAGACTTGTCAATGGGACAACAGATCCCCTCATAGCAACCACTCCAATGTGAGGAGCAGGAGGGTAGCCCACCCACCTAGCTTCCCACCTCCTCCATGTCCAGTAGCAAAGACTAATGGGATTTCAAGGCATAAAAAGAACAGGTGAGCACAAATTCCTCTTTCAAATTCTTTTAAAAAGGTTTTAAGAGGGTCCAAGTTCTCGCAGTGCTTTATTTGACCTGAATCATGTTTTTGAAGAAAACAGCTCCTGCTGATAGAATAAGGAAACTCTTCTGTTCCCTGCTTTTGGCTACAACACACGTCATGTTTATTGAATACCAGCAGTGTGTTTGGGACACTTTTGGGGAGGGTACTGAGTCTAATTGCTGGCTGGACTCCAGGTGTGATGTCACATGATATCTGGCAGCATTGTTCTCTATTGTCTGGATGTGGCCTAGTTCCTCAGCAGCCACTGAGTCCAGGGTCATCGTCATCACACACTCTCTCTCACACGCTCTCCCTCATTTACTGACGGCCAAGCAAAACAAGGCAGCTGTGTAACCCATGTGCACACTCACATTAGGACTTATTAGGTGACATGACTTCTAATAATATAGTTCTCTACACTGTCGTGTCCTGGTGTTATCTGATATCATCCAAACATAGTCCAGGATTTGTTGACAGAATACAGTAATATGCAATTTTTTTTTTTTACAATTTCTAATAAAATATAAATGTAAATAACACCTGGTAGAGCTGGCCGCCCCGTGTATCAACTCTGTGTCCTTGCTGCAGCGGCCGTGGGTTTGATTCTGACCTGTGGCCCTCTGCTGCATCCCCTCGCTGTTTCCCCTTCCTGTCACCTTTCAGCTGTCCTATCCAATACATGGCAAATATCTAAAAATGTAAAGATTAGGTGTTTCTGTTTTGTAGCCGAACCTTAATAATATAAATAAGAGGACAAAAATAACCATACAGTTGAATTAACACCTCTAAAACCGTTTCCTTCATGAAGGAAGGATGTATTGCAGGATTGTTTTGTTAGGCAGCAGTAAAAACGGATGTGAGAGAGCAGACTCTGAAAAATGCAGTTGTATTAATATAATTAAGCAAACCCAAAACCACAATACAACAATACAAATTAGCTCCACTAAGTCTTTTGGAACGTCTCGACTTACCGGTATGTGAGACAGATGAAAGCTTTTACAAGTCTTTTATCATAGATGTTTGAATATGGAAACGAATTCTGCCTAGTGGTAATAAACTGAAAGGACCTTTGGTTCTGTGTTGGTTGTCAGTTATCAGTCATTGTCTTGAGCCTACTGAACTTATTGCCCTTTCAGTCTCAATCATACTACACCGGAGGAGAGGAGAAGCCAGTTTATTGGACTGTAACCTAACCTTTCACTGAGGGATTATAGTACAAAAATGTAGCCAAATTTATCACAAGCTGCCCAAAATCATTTTTACCCATCCCAAATAAAGTAGTCCAGTGGAAACAATCCAGTCTAGCAACACTCCACCTAACGATTATGTCTTTAAAGCAACTGACTATGGGCGATATACCTGATGAACTGGTATACTGGTTTTATCTTCCTATATGATTTTCATATATCGCAATACCAGTGCATAGCTGAAACAATTGCTGTAACTATAATATGCAACAATAGTATTTGTGCTGCAAAGAGCCAAGCTGTGTATTGTGTGTATGGAGAGGGGAGCCGTCTCAGTACTCGTACCTTTCTTACGAACAGTTATAACTTTTCAACACAACAACTGAAAACCCACAACTAATTTCCCTAACAGGGCAAAACATCATGGCACCCAACATTTGTGACAGTTTGTTTCTTTGAACTTTTGAGAAATATCTATTGGGGGAACTTAAATTCTTTGTATCTGCCTAGACATATTTTTTTTATTTTTGTGGAAGCAACGTTAAAGTTGTTAGCATATCTTCTTTTATTTTTAAGTTCTGTTTTTTTTACTACAGGTAATGCTGGGAAATAATAATAAAATAATGTGCCATTCTGTAATATTGTAATTGCCTGTGTTGTGTTTACTCCTACAACTAGTGGCTAATACACGTTTTATTATTAAGTGTGCTCTGAAATCAGGGTGCAACATTTACTTTGTTTGTGCAATTACCAAATGGTAAGTTGATGTCTCAATTACTGTAAAAACAGACTTTAAACCCCCTAATTATGAGGCTAGTATAATATCAATACATCAAGTTGGCAGTGTAGTCAATTATTTTCACTTTCATGTCAATTTGTTGTGTCTCTGCACACAGTTAGCATAGTTTTACAGAAGAAGCCATTAGCTGTCATTCACTCTTGTGTGTTATGAAATACCTCCACGGGGTTAGGTATTACATCACACTGAACCTGAATCATGCAACAGTTGCTGTTTGAGCAACAGGCCAGATTGATCATGTACATGGACTCAAGCACATGAAAAATAAAATGTTACCACTTAAAACTTAGAACTAAATGAAGCTGCATCTTCATTTTAAAGCTTTCAGAGGAGGAACGTTGCACAGTGACCTAATTTCTGCTTTTGCTACAGCTGCTGACATTGTCATATTGTCGATTGCTATCTCTGTCTAAATCCTGTCATACATACTTTTTTCCCTTATTTTGCTTTTTTAAACATTTGTACTATATGCTAAGTCATTTCCTCCCATGACAGTTTATCACACTCTCTCTGCGTTGCTGTGTTTGATATCAACATAAGGAATGTTGTGGTGGGACGCTGGCTGAATATAAGACAATAGAGTGAACAATAGTATGGTGGTTATCTTTAGGATAGCAGCCAGGCCCCCCTTTTCACTGCCTTCCCTTCCCTTCTCTCCCTGCCACAGGAAGTCCTTTGAGTACGAGGATGCGGCCCGTCTGACGGCGAAGCAAGGCACGCTGCGAGGCGAGTCCAGGGATTCAGGCCTTTACCATGCCTACTCTGACGACAATATTTACGAGGACATTGTTTGTAAGTCCGACTCCCTGTGGCATATAAACTGAAGAAGACGTTTGATCTATACACTGACTGTTGTCAGTGACAGCTGTCATGGATTTTAAACAGCTTAACTGAGCACTGGTTTTGCTAAAAAGAGACAAAGACAGGAAGTCATAAAGACTGTTGGGTGTCGGCCATTGGTTGTATGTACAGATCGGAACTTCACAATTGTCATTACAGAGTCTGTTTAGAGTTGGGCTATTACAGGGACAAGTGAACTAATCATTGAATATGCTTCGAAAAGGGGCCTGTTTCCCACTCTCATTTTGAGTGTTATATTTAAGATGGAAAAAGACTGGATGGCATGTCTTAGTCATCAGTTTTGGGGAATAATTGCCTAAAATGATGTTATATGTAGTGGGATATTAAGAGTATACACTATATGTTGCAGGTTTTGTTGGCAATTCATTTGTTAGAGTGTGCATTTTATTTTAGCCATAAAAGCCTATTTCCTTTTTAAACATACTTCTTCCTTTTTGAAAAGAACTTCTAACTTGAGGCAATAGTTTCTTAAATATTCACTAAATATGCAGGAATGTAGGATTGTATTATTGTATTATCTACAATAATATAATGCCAGGGTAAATATTATTATTATTATTATTATTATTATTATATATATATATATATATATATATATATATATTCTTACTAAAACACTTTAACCTTGTGCGCACCTTTCAGTGATTTCATCAGAGACAATACAGTGATTTGTAATACACATATACACACATACAAATCAGAAAGGAATAATAGTGAAATGCTCCTGCTTTGTGCTGGAAAGTCATCATTATTTATATCCACAGCAGACCCCTCACGCATTTGGTTTTTTACTAAGTAGCCTTTTGAAAGCAAGCATTAGGTGAGGTGGTCTTAATCTTTTCCCATCACTCTGTCTTCCCCCAGGTGAAGTGACCAGAGATAACCCCTATGAGGATGTCAAGCTCCAATCTCCCATGTGTCTCCCTATTGCAAGGCCTCACACCCCAAAGGTAATGGAAGATATTGCTTTTATGTCTCCCTTTCACAGTATGCCAGTATTTTGTATTAGTTGTGTATGGGTGTATCAAATGATCCCTGCCTAACCTGAGATTCTAAGGGAGGAAGGAGGAAGTATTGTAGTAGGATACCATGTAATTATCTAAAAACTGAGTGATAACTCCACAGTTCTTGTCTTTCAGCTGCCTCCTAAACCCCAGACGTTGCAAGGCTACGCTGGCAAAGTTGAGAGGAAGAGGTTCCAAACGTTTGCAGCATCCAAATCCTCAACCCTTGCAGATGCTCCCAAACCAGCTACACCGCGGCGCACGAGCACTCAAAAAATACATAGGATGCCTCCGGTAAATAGTAAATGGCTTTTGCCATTACTTTACACGCTGCCTGAGGTGTTCTATTCATATTGCTATATGGTAGAACAACACAGTGGTATGTACCCTGTTGACTGAGTGATCATGTGTTGGAAAGAAAACAAGGGGGCGGTGACTTGTTCAGCAGGAAGGAGAGGACGCTGAAAGAAACAGATAGTGGTAGAGCAACATGTATGAATGCTTCATGAGAATTCAGACAGAACACATTCATTCGAAAATATAACTCATGGCAGTGGAAGGAGTGGGGACAGTGGGGAGGAACTTTGACGATAAGGTATAGTAATATTGACATATAAAGGTGAGAACCAGAAAAAGATTATAGCTTCAAAACCCATGTGACACTAGTGGCTCCTAGCAAGTTTGACAAATGTAAATCAGGTTTATTTTTAGATGGTATTTTAATAAGGTGTCATTGCTGATCTGTTTTCAGATTCAGTTTTTCATAATTTGCCATTATGTAAGTTTAAAATAACAAATAATTGAGAATAAATCACTTAAGTAGTAATAATAAAAGATAACATTTAGTTAACTAACTATCCTTAAACTCTTTTAGATCACATCTTTGAGAAAAACGTTGAACATGGGCATAGACATAATAACACCTCATTATGTATGTTTCTGCTTAACAACAGTACCATTATCTTGGTAGTTTCTTTTCTTACACTGTCATAAAAGTCTGTCTCCTTAACTGGCAGTGAGTTTTGTGTCCTCTTAAAGATAAGTTTCAGCTTCCTGTTTTTGTATTGAGCCAAGCACTAGTGTATTAATGCAGGGCCTCAGCTGACTCAAGTCCACTGTCAAATATTCAACTGTGCGCTTTCAGGACATTAGCAGAAGAATGCAGGAATGTATGGGTAAAAAAAATGCTGAAAATCTATAATATAATTATGTGCTTAGTGGCTGTTATATCATGATTCCCTGTAATCATGATTCTATAATGGCTGTGAAATTATGGGGCTGACAAGTACCTGTGTGTTCTACTGCGCAGTACGTCAACAAGATCGAGACCATCTTTGACGACAAGCGAGGGAGGAAGAGAGTAAAGAACCAGGGAGTCTTAGTGCGAGGTAACACACACACACACACACACACACACAGATGGTCACAGATGCCCAAATGTCACCCACATCAACACTTCAATAAGATTAAGTTGAGCCTCTTGGTGGAAATACCCAGCTTTTGATGGTACACACAAGGCCAGCTGCAGCAGGCGAAGCCGCTGATTATGAAACAAAGGCTAACTGTCTGCATCTGATTATGGCTCTTCTAGTCTTTTCCATTCCTCTGCTTCTCCCTAATCTTTCCCTCCTTTAATTCGTATCAACAGAGGAGACCAGCGGGACAGAGAGCGACCCTGAGGACAACACCAAAGGTATCACCATAGAGCTAATGTGTCTATAATGCGCCTTTTATCTGAAGTCTGGTTTTTAGGTAAAGTTTAATGCCGGCCTTGTGACATATTTTCTATTATGGAGTTAGAAAAGTCCCAAGTATAAACATAGGACTGCATAAAAAAAAAAAAATCATAGCATCTCTGAAGAATTAATCAGCTCTACTGAAGTTATTATCATTCTTCAGTGCCTGTTAATGCCATCCATGTGACATATTTCTGTTCAATGGAGTGACATACAATCATAATTGGACCATAATACAGCTGATTATACATGATGGAGACATCGAGACTAGTGCTGACAAAATTAGTTTAGGGAAAATTTGATTACTTAGTGAAGTCATTTATCACAAATGCCAAGTGCTCGCTGGTTTCAGCTTCTCAAATGTGACGATCTGCTGCGTTTCTCTGCTTTAGAAAAAATTGCACATTTGGGTCTTAGCCTGTTGGTCAGAGAAAACAAGAATTTGGAAGATGTTCACTTGACTTTGCATATTGAGAGGAGCTTTTTCTTCACAGTTTTCCAATATTTTAAAGATTCAACAATTGATTTTCAGTGATTCCTTGCAGCTCTGTGCGACTGTACGTAGGCACAGTGCTGCTTTGAGCTGAATGCTAAAGTTAGAATGCTAACATGCTCTCAGCTAAAATGCTGATGTTTAGTAAGAAATATTTATCATGGTAATCATCTTTGTTTACCATGTTTGCATTCTAACATTTGCTAATTAGCAACAGATACAAAGTACGACTGAGGCTGATGGGAATGTTAATAGTTTTCCAAGTAATTGGCCATAAACCAAAGTACTGGACAGAGTGAAACTTTGATCTGATTATGGCGCTAAATTAACAGTCAGGGAATCACCAAAGTTATTACATTTCATCCTCTGGGAAACACGTACCAGATGTTATGGCAATAAGATGTATCAGTCTGGACAAACATTGTCACCCCTAAAGTCTAGCTTGGCAACTGTGGCTTCTGTTGAGCTTCCTCAGAAAATTCAAACAAAACAAAAGCACATCCAAGCAACATCCTCTTTGCAGTAGTTAGTGATGAGGCTTATGGGAAATGTTTCAACTTTGAGAAACTCAAATAACACTACTGCCATGAGATACAGACTACCAGTTATCCATGACCATTGTTTTGGATACTGTATAATCAATCACAATTATACTGTATATTGATATTTAAAATGGCTCATATTGCTGCAGTGTGCTGGGTGGGATACGTCCCAGGACAAGCATTACTATATAGTCTCATTGTGTGATGTCCTGCAGGCTCCAGGAGATCAGTTTACATCCAATCTACACTGAAGCGCCGGCCAGGCTACCGCACCCTAGAGAGAGACCTGATCCAGCTGCAGCAACAGCAGCTTTTCCAGATCTTTGTGGTGGTGTCGCTGAGAAAAGGCTCCCCAGGAAACACCTACACCCCTGAAATCACGCAGCAGTTCCCCAAATTGGTTAGCAGCCTTTTAACACGACCCCACCCTTCTTCTAGGCAAAGGACATAACTGTACTTTATTAGGGCTTTAACTGAAAGGTATTCTGTGCCATTAAGCCAATTTCCAAATATAATCTTGTTTGGCAAAAGTAAAAGAAGATGATTCTTATCTTACGTTATTGTTAATTTCTTATACTTAAGCTAATTTTTATTGAATTATATTATAATACAATTAAATGATCACTGTTTTCACCTGGGAACCACTTCAAGGAAGTCATTGCTGCTGCTGTAAATGGAATCCCTCTGTTTCAGTTTGAGAAGTCATCCCGGCTCTCCAGAGAAGCTGAGGATCAGCTGAAGGTCATTCCCAAGTTCTGCTTCCCCGACTCACAGGACTGGAAGCCCTCTGCACACATGCCAAGGTCAGCACGTGCACTATAATAATATTTTAAAGGCATGGTAGATACAGAAGAAATATACAGAAGTAAGTGCAACCCAAAGGCTATCACAATGGCATAATGGTAACGTGACACACTTTTTTTTTTTTTATCTTGTACTTGTACTCCTTTTGTTGTCATTATACACACCTTTCATGTGTTCTCCCAAATATTGTCTCTTTCATTTACAGTATTTAGTTAAGTTCTAGCCCCCTAATTATCAGTTATATTATGTTTAATACCCCCATTTCCTCTTTTCCTATTTATATCCTCAGCTGTAACACATAAATTGCGGCTGCAACATCTCAAATCCCCCACAGGGATAATTAAAGTTTCAACTCATCTAATTAAATCTCTGAGTGCTAAGGGGCATCGGGCATTCTTCTTCTTTTTTCTTTTTTTCTTTTTTTTTTTCTTCCGGGTATGGTTCATTGTTGTAATGTGGGTTATGATCTCAGTGTATACTGCCTCACTGTCTTTAAAACACTTATCTGTGGTGGAGGAAATAAACAGACATAACTGTCTTCTGTTTACGTAGTTTCTGCATGCTCTCCCTTTATGTCTCCATAGACTAAACAGTCCTTACATTAAGCAACTGCATTGCTTATATTGGGGTTTTTGGCTTGTTTTTTTAATGAAGTAATTCCCTTCATTAAAAGATATTGCTTATTAAAGTTTTTATACAAGGAATTAAAGATGAGATTGTGTTTGTTTTTTTTTCAATTATGTTTTTTTAGGCAGTAAAAAGCCAAATCATTTATATATCATCTCCTGTGTGTGTTAACAGTGAGACCTTTTCCTTTGTCCTGACCGGAGAGGACGGCAGCCGCTGGTTTTGTTACTGCCGTAAGATCTTGGTGAGTGTGGATGTGTGCGTCTGAATCATTGACTGGAGCGTGTATGTGTTTGTGTGTCTGTCTGTGTGTGATGACATGGGAGCCCGCCATGTGCTTACTCAACATCTCTAAGGAGATGTGAATCAGTATATGTGAATCACAGACCATAAACCACTTCTGAATCAATGACAGAGAGCAAAAAGAATTTCACAATTTCCCCCTTTTCCTTTGCCTCACAAGGAGAGCTGCTTTTAGGTCTTTTTAAGACTCTTTTCAAAAACACTTTTTACGTTGAAATCATGTGGCATATCTTCTTTTTCTGTTCAGTTTGTGTTTATTTGTATTATTGTGAACATACTGTGGGTGTCTTGTTAAGCACTCTCTATGTAAACTATGTTTTGTTGTGTTTATTCTTTAGTGTAGACTTAGGCCAGACCTAACAGAGAGAGTTTCATGTGTTGTTGGTAGATAAGCTCACCGCTGCATCAGAAACATGGATGGAGTTTAGACTTTAGACTTTTGAGTCATTTTTTGTCTTCTACAATGTTGTCATTGCAAAAGCATTAATAGACAAAACATGATGTGCTTGCCCCTACTGTACTCTGTTTAGTTAATTGTTTATATTGGATGTGTTTCACAAGTGTGTTTTATGTCATAGATGTCTCTGCTGCTTTACGACGTATGAAACTGTATGTGTTTTTTAGCCCAGTGGAAAAGGGAAGAGGCTTCCTGAGGTGCACTGTATCGTCAGTAAACTGGGCTGTTTCAACCTGTTTGCAAAGGTAAGGTACCTACGCAATGCATCTGCTCCCTTGTTTCTGTTGATAGTAGCCTTTTATAGGGAGATGAAAGCAGCTGGATTTGTCAAAGTTCAGTGTTAATCCTCTTTAAGTGTGTCAAAGCTGCTGCCCTGGAACTCCTTGTATGCATTAGTGAGGAATGAAGCTCTACTAGAAGATAATCCTGAGCAATCCCTGGGTGTGTTTTTCAAAAAAAAACCAAATTGTATGCATGTAGTTGTGTCTCACCTATTTTTCCAGTTGGCCCAGTGAAATTTACACGCAGTCAGTTTAAATATGGCAGGGAAGGAAAACTGCATTTACGTGCAGGGCTGCATCTTGCCTCCGTTCTATTGTTCTGGAGTTTAATCAACCCCAGTTCCTTCAGGACACACAGTGATTTGTCTGGCTCTGTCTGCCCAGATTTTGGAGGAGGTGGAGAGACGCAGGGAGATTTCCCCAGCGCTGGTTTACCCTTTTATGCGTAGCGTGATGGAGGCCCCGTTCCCAGCCCCTGGACGCACAGTCACCGTCAAGAGCTTCCTCCCTGGCTCTGGGAATGAGGTAACCCTGAAACCAAAAGAGGAAATGTTAATTAGTAGTTTTGTTCCTCCTAACCACTCCTCTCTGCAGACTCAGAATGACTCAGAATGGGAGGTTATCAGTGTAAACAATAGGGATACTAGCTATTTCTGCTTTGAAAGGTTCATGTTGGGACAGCTATTTATATTATAACAGTCAACAATAATCAATTTAGTCATAACTGTTACAGACTCAAAATAAGTGAAGTAATGACTCCTTCTACTTTCTCCTGTTTCAGCAGTTAGGTGGCTCTTAACTTCAGCTTCCACTGCAGCTTAACTCCATCTTCCACCAGTTCATTGTCTTGAGCAACATTTCTATGCATGTATCTAAAGAGTCTGTATTTGCTTAACATCCAGGTTTCAGGCATTCACCCAGCAGTCGGTGAGGAACAACTAGTGTAATCAGCAAGTTATAAAACTGTATTTACGCTCTGGTTGCTTTGCCAGGTACTCACTCTGTGTCGACCAGTGGACTCCAGACTGGAGCACGTGGACTTTGACAGTCTGCTGCAGTGCCTCAGTGTCGGGAAACTCCTGCAGGTGTTTGCCTCTATTCTGCTCGAGAGGAGAGTCATCTTCATCGCTGACAAACTCAGGTACTGCTGTGGGAACACACAGCACTGTAAGCCCACTTAACTATTGGTGTATATATATGGCTGATGTATAAGCACATGGCACAAAATATTTAGATATGTGATTTTAAACTCCCCTTTGATGTGTGCCAGCTATACTCTATGCTTAATTGCATCAAGGGGCCAGGGCCATTGCCATTTGTGTGTGTGTACTTTGGCCTCAATGCAAAACTCCCACAGGCAAGTCAGGTTTATTTGTACAGCCCAGTATCACTTACAGTGTCTCTGTCTCAGTGATCTCTACAGGCACACAACAATAACAAGTCCTGACCCAGCCCAAACCTGTATCAATATATGCCAATATACTGATAATGGTTTTGGGCTTTAGAGAAAAGTACTGTAGGGAGGACACAGACTTGAGGGATGCCATACCTTACAGTATGGAGATGTACAATATGGACAAACTGCAATTATTAAGGTTATAGACAGCTACATCATTTTCAAGCGAAATATTACAATCAGCCATGTCAAATGCTGTGCTTACAATAGATTGAGAATTAAAAGGCTGCATTGGAGTCAGCAGTATAGTAAGGCAGTTTGAAACTGAAAGACAAATGATGAATGTCACTTTTTAAATACAGGAGATAATAGGGAGTGGAAAAGGTGCTGAGGTTGGCAGAGTGTTTCTTAAAGATAGCTCCAGAAATTGACCAATGAGAAGGAAGTGGAGGACGTATTTCACAGCATGTAGGCAACTGGGACACTGAGTATCAGCAGAAATAGTAGTAGTAGTAGTAAATACTGCACCAAGAGTATTAGCATAGGTCCGTTGCATGAGAAGCTCTTAAAGTTGGTCCCTTTGAAGAAGGAAGAATTTGAATCATGTTTTATGCTTTTCTCTCCTCTCCTGTTCACTGCAGTGTGTTGTCTCGGTGTGGCCACGCAGTGCTGGCGCTGCTGTACCCTTTCACCTGGCAGCATACCTTTGTGCCTGTACTACCAGCCAGCATGCTGGACATCAGCTGCTCCCCCACCCCATTCCTCATTGGGGTGCTGGCACCCTGCCTGCCACAGCTGCTGGAGCTGCCCATCGAGGAGGTCGGTCAGAGTTCTTTTTAAAGTGTTTCAAAATCATTGTCCAGTTTCAGTCTAAATGGACTTAAAGTGGTTATAGTGCCATTTTTTGGCTGCATATTTACTGCATGTAGTGAATGAATCCAGAACCAACCGACAGTAGCTGCCACTGTGTGTGAGTAGTGGTGGAGAAAACTCCCTGAAGAGACTCACCTCGCCGCTTTATAAGTCTTGTTGCGAAATCTTTCAGTCACTAACTGTCACTTTTTCTTCTCGCTGTCTTTTCAGGTGCTCATAGTGGATCTGTGTGCAGACAAGTTTGTCATTCAGGTGCGTACACATAGCAGTGTATAGTGGGAATGATAGGCGCGGTCCCAATGGAACGGATGGCTTTGCCTACACTTGTCCCTTGTTTGCATGTGGAATGTTTAGAGGGTGACGGAGAGAAAATGATGTAACACCCAAAAGCGCTGCAGTGGTGAAACTATATAGAAGCCCAGAGCAGAATTGTGTCATGATGCAGCATAAAGGCTGTCAACAGTAATCACTCAGCCACAATTCAATTAATTCTAAACTTGTTTTTTTTCTTGGTTGTGTTTATGTTATGTCTTAATTAGACATTTTATTGAGTGAGCTTAATCTTTGTTCAGGCGCAGTCTCATTCCCTATTAACTGCAAGCTAATGGGACAAACAGTGGTTGACTTGCCACTTCAACATTAGCTGTCTGTTACACAGAGCTGTATAATTTCACTATTGCTGGCAGCTTCCCTCCTCAGCATGAAACATGAAGTACAACTGTTTGAAAAGCTTGACTCAGGCTAAATAATCTTTGACATACAGTGTAGTCTGTAGGTGTGCTATATTTGAAAAGGTGATACATTTATTTTCTGTTCTTTCGGCTCTCTCGGCACATTGGATTTGAACTGTTTCATTGTCCCAATACTTACAGACCTTACTGCCTTAAGTGCTTAACACCGTTTGGTCTTCTAAAAAGAAAGAAAATCAGCTTTCAAAGACAATTTAAATGTATATTTGTATGTCATGTGATTGCTGTTGAACTTTCCTGTGATGTGTCACAGCTGGGCGATGAAGATTGCATCCTACCCAGTAAACTGCAGGCGGCTCTGCAGCAGATCCTGGAGGAGAGGGAAGAGATCCTGAGCCAGGAGGATGGAGACGGATGTGGAGGTTTGTGTAGCAGACATCAAACGTTGCTGATTAAGAAGCTCTTCAAGTATCTATAATATCACCAGATAAAGTTCCTTTTCTTTTCAAGAAAATAGTGAGGAAGAATATTTGCAGGTCCTTTTTGTCATTACAGCAACATCAGCTCTTTCGTTTGTTCAGTGTACTAGATATAAGATCAGAGGATGTTTACCACTTTATGTTGCACCACAATGAAGATGTTTCAATATTAAGTCCTGTGAGAAAAAAGCCTTTAACGTGTCTTGTATGATATGATGAAGCATTTTATGAAACAAATCTTAGACAATCTTGTCTTCATCCAAAATGTGGCCCGTCCAGGTCAGCAGGCTGACCTGAGCTCCCTGGTGTCGGAGGGTTTCGTGCGGTTGTTCGTGGAGCTGGTGGGCCACTATCCTTTCCACATGGTCGAGTCGTCCAACGGAAGCAGGGAGCTCCAGCGCGACAGCTTCCGCAAGTCTCACCCCTCCCGCGGAGTCCGCCAGTTCCTGCAGCTCTTCATGGATACTCAGATGTTTGCGGGCTTCATTCAGGATAAAGAGCTGCGCAAGGGAGGAGGAAGAGGTAATTGTGTTGATGTAGCAGTGACAGTAGTCACAAGAGTTGCTTCTTTAAAAAAAACCCACAAAGATTAAGAATGTTATGTCTTGACTAATGAAACACCTGATTATATTGTCTAATAGGGACGATTTTCTCTGTTTCCATTACAAAACAAGCGTGACACCCTGTGATGTAAAGAAGTCAGAGGTTTCCACTTAATAATCTGTTAAATGGATAAATTCTAGTGTGTAATTTAATCATATTGAAGCAGACGTATGACCCAAGTTAAATGAGTCACAGCGTGCACTGACCTAAAGGCAGTTTAGGAAAATTTAAGAAACTTTGATTTTAAGTTGAATATCTGCAATACATATTCTGTTTCAATGGCTCAACATTTCCAACTCTCTCCCAGGGCTCTTTGAGGTCAGAGTGGCCGAGTATCTGGATTCATACCCTGAGCCGGAGCGGAGTGGTGTGAACAAGTTTCTTAAAGGATTAGGTAAGTGTTGCTCTATCATCAGATGTTCACTTTCAAAAAGGTTCATTTTCAACAGCTAATTTTCTTTATTTCTTCCTTTTTTAGGAAGCAAAATGAAGCTCCTACAAATTAAGTGAAAAAAAGACCAAAAGCTGGGATTTTAAATGAAAGACTTTGTAATTAAAAACAACAATGGCTGCTGCTGCTGGACTTGCTGAGGAAATGAATGTGGATGAGAGTGTTTGGACGGTGAGTTTGGATACGAGAGGACTAGGCTCATCTTATAGCCATGAATGCATGTCTGAGAGCAGTGCACTTCTTATTGGACAAAAACTGGAAACAGTTTTTATATTTCTTTACTAGCATTGTTTTATGAAGTCTTGAGGATGAGGCAATATGTCTTTGGAAATCTACAAAAAAAAAACATTCCATGTCTGTAACCTCAGTTATCAACCTGATCGTGTGCGGTCGGGGTCGGAACTCTCTGATTTTAAATTGGAAACATGTTTACTTTTTCACATTCAGCTCTATTACACAATGTGTGCATTGTACAGTAAATGCAACTTTAACGCTACATTTCAATCTCTTACGAAATGTGTATGGTTCCAACCTGATGCATGTGTTTTTTAATCCATGTTGCATTCCTTTCAGCACAAATTGTAAAAAAAACAAAAACAACCTTTTGTTTACTGTTTCTATTTTGCTTGTAGAGGCTCATTAACTCTGATCAGAATATCTCAAAGTGTTTAGACTCCAGGTTAAACCTCTTCAGTCAGAAAGAGTATTTTCATTTACAAATCTGTTTTTCTTCTGTCCTTGACTTTCTCCTTGTTAAACTGGAGTTGTAAATATTTTTTACATTTTGCACAATGTTGAGAACCAGTGTACAGTATTTGGAATATTTTTGTATTAAAGCATGATGTGTCCTACATACTTTTTAAATAAATGGGTTCCCAAGGACGGTTTTTAATGTGTGGCTATGCTGTTTATAATGTTAATGACAACTTGGCTGTACAGTAACCCTGCACAATTATAACACTTGTGTTCAAGCATTTGTATGGTATGCTATATAGCTGTATATTCTATAACAGGATCTACTTTAAATATGGGGTGAACACTGAGATGCTTGCTGTAATTATTCTACCTGTCCACACTGGCCATTAAGAGATCACCTCATAATGCAATATTTGATGCATGGAAAGAGGACTTGGCATGTGTCCCCATCACTCACATTAGGAAGGGATCTGTTTACAGCCAGAATGAACAGCAAGAATAATTACTGCAAGCAAAACCTGTTTCCACGTTCACCTGGCCCCCTAACTAACCTGTGTGAAAACACACGTGAAAAAGAAAAAGGGAAACTGCCCTTTGAAGAAGAAATTTGGACACAGTACAACTTTGTCCAGTAAAAGGGTAAATCTCTGCTGTTCACATGGAAACAGTGGAACCAAACTTTATACAAGATTTTCTCTCCTTCAGCAGGTGTATTTTATCTTGTTGCAATCTTTGTGTGAAGTTACTTTTGAGGATCAGATAGAAGTTTGATCTAACAATCAGAATTATCCTCATATTTACAGGATTCCTTCAGTTATGTAAAGTCGGGCTGTATCTATTCTATCAGGGAAAAGCAGTATAAATACACAAATCAATAAATATTATAAACAAGTAAAAAAAAATATATATGTTTGCTTTTGCACCAGCTAGAAAAAGTTTGGCTACTTTAGCTCTTTTAAGCCAGTTATAATGTCACTTGTTTCCAGTCATCCTTTTCCTCTTCAGAAACCTTTCTTTTACATTTCTAAAATCCAGGACAGAAACCTCTTTGCATGATGTTCACTGCATTGCAAACAACTTACCAGCACATGATGTAAAATACCTCTTTAGCATGTACGTCCAACCATCATTATGTCAGATTGGGGCCTGAAATAAAACAAAAAAAGAGCCACCTGAATCATTTAACTTGAAAATAGTATCTGCACAGAAGAGTCGATCCTGCAGAGGACCGGTGTATTGATTGAATGGCACACCCTGAGAGACATCAAGTGTTCTGGCAGAACAAGTTCTCCTTAAAAGGAACTCGTTTTGCCCTACTCTGAGCCTCCCAGGCACAACTTCCTCTCTGGCTGCATACATCTCCCACTTCCTTTACTGAGATCCCAACCCCAGGATACAAACGTGTTTGTTGGAACAGTTCACAGGGGCAAGCTCAGCCTGAGAGGCACATTTTAGGTCAATAAAATGTCTGGGTGCCAGTTAACATAAAAGAGTATCCAAGCAACGACATGCAAGTATATCCCCACTGTGACCACACGGGGGCACAGTCTCCACATGCTTCCACTGACAGGAAAGGAGCAGCAGAGTTGAGTTTCCACTCCAATGCACTAAATTAACTTTCCTGTTTCAGTGCATCAGCATTTACATAACATTATGCCAACAGAAATATCGGGTGTGTTTTGGACAAGTGGTGGAAGTTAGTCGATAGGTCAGTTGTTTGGGGGAGGAAAATGGTTGCTATTAATGAACTGTTGATTTAACCTTTGAATCCCCAGGGTCTGACTTAATGTGTTTAACACTATATACCAATATCAGTTTACAGTTTTATAAAATTGTACAGCAAAAACTTATTTACTTACTTACTTAGGGATGCTGTATCAGTGTTGTGAACTAAGGCTTGTCAAGGTCAGGTTTGAAGGATAGGTCTTGTCGATGTGGATTAATATGCTACTGAAAATAGTCCCCAACAAATGCACTATTTACTTCTGTTTGAGTAACGTTTGCTTAAAGAAAATAAGTCTTTTTTAAATGCCCCAGTGGCAAAAAAACTACTGTATATCTGTGGCAGTTTTCTTTCCAAGATTTACATCTTCAGTAGGAACCAATGGGTTTGTAGTCAAGAGCTGCAGACAGGCTGAAGAGGTTGGAAAATATTGAGAGACACACTGTTGGTTTTGGTCTTTCTATGAGCTTTGTAGACAATAACAAATGGACAGACTGTCACAGAGGCCTGATGCAAATTTACACATATTTTCATCTGCCAAGATCTACTCTTTTAGAGAGTTTCATTTCACTCCCCTTGATGAACGACTGTAACCTACCATTAGGAGAGATTTGATAAATGACACAAGTCCTGATGATAGACTTACAGCAACTCAAAGCAAGGCCAATAAATCAAAAAACTGGTTTGTGGAAAATATTTCATAATTTCTACCAAAAATACAAATGAGGAGCTAGAAAGTATTTGCATGACAATTGTTTTAGTTTCATGCCTCAGGGATTGGTTCTTTGGAGCTCACAGAAAGTGACCAGTTTACGTGTTTGTAGCAGAAGCAGGCCGACCTCCCTGTGCACACGCTACTTACACTTACATTCACAGCGCCGACAAGGACTGATTGTGGCAATCTAACAAAATATTTATCCTAGACAAGATGTGACTTGTGTCTGTTGTGTCCTAGAAATCCAGAGAATTGCTTTGTTTTTAGACAATGTCGCAGAGAGACGCAGATAGAAGCTAACTACATGCCACTATACGAGTACAAGCAGTAGAGTTAAAGAGTCCTACTGCTGCTTCTATTAATACTGCATACTGTTCCTAGTTACTGCTACGTTCATTTCTGGCATAGTGATGATTATTCACAGTAGTGGTAAGTAACTAAGTACTTTTACTGAATACTTAAGTACTATTTTAAAAGGTACTTTACTTGCATATATCCATTTTGCTATGTTTATGTTACATACTTCTGTGCCTCTAAGGGAAATGTATGTTTTACTGCACTTCATATATAGTAGTTATATATATAGATAGACAAACTGGGACCCACCTCAGCTAGCTGCAGCAGTAACACACTATTTCTACATTGTTGTATCAGTATTAGCATCAGATATATCAGCCATAGGTGCCATAATAAGTACTTTTACTTTAAGTATATTTAGCTGATAATTCTTCTGTACCTTTACTTAAGTAATGTTTTGAATGCAGGACCTTTACTTATTATTCTATTCCACTTGGACTGCTGACAATCCATTTCTACTTTCCCTCAGTCAAACATGACTTTATCAGGTTGCTGTGAAGCCTTTCACCAGCTCACTGAAATGTCTCAAAGCCTTCTGTGAGTGATTCAGAACAACAGTTTGAATGGATGCTGGTATAATGACAGTGGACCCCCTAAGAGCCTCATAAAAGAGCTCTCCACTGAAGTGAATTCACGGTTTCTTTTGTATAGTCTAACAAACAAAGAGCCTAAAGAAATGAATAATCACCACGATAAGGCGATCTGTCAATAAATAAGATAATCAAATCTACACTACGCAAAGCAGAATTCACACAATGAATGACAAATCAACAATAAATACAAGAAAACTCACACTGTCAGTGATCTATGAAGGAGCTGAGAACTCAGTAAAGAACACTTGAACTCACCTGAAGTCACTCAGTTCAATAAGGGGAGTCATTCTGGGTGTAAATGGTTTCTTGGCCCCCTAGGGGCAGCATTCCCTGTAGGAATTCATGGACAGTAACATGGACAGACCTCTACCTACAGTAGCTCACTTACTGGAGGCCCTCTGACAAGGGCTGGTTGGTTGGATCTTGGTTGGATCTCAGGTTTAAAGTCAGTCACGCATTTGTTTCAGAGCGCTTTGCTATCTGAACCACATGTACACTCTATTCTTAGAGCCTCAGTTTGAATCAGAAAGAAAGGTTAATACAGGATTGCCCAACATGCAGTAATATTTACACAGTGGACAGAAGTAGAATGACAGTAATGATAAAATATGAGTAAATATTAATGGTGAGAAGTTCAGAAAAAATGTGAGAAAGAGTTTGAAGTGCAGAATGTGGATAAACTAGGAGAAAAAGATTGTATACTTGACAAGAGTGGACTTTTTCCTTTTCCTAGAAGTCTGGAGAAATACTTTGTTTTTAGACAAAGACACAGAGAGATTTTTGTTCTCCTCAATGTCTTTGCACTGTGCACTTTGTGTACCCTGTTGCATTACTCATCAGTACAGTGCATGGATGTGCTGCAACCAACCAGCACACTATGTCCTGTAGCTAGAGTACTACTACTACAACTGCTACTGCTACTACCCTGCCTCAGGATTGCTGTTATTTTTTTATCAGTATGAACCAGGTGAGCACAATATAAACTGAAATAAACTGGATTAAACTAGATTTTGCATGAAAATGCAAAAACTACTATGCTTCATCATATCCACTTATATTGAGCTTTAGTGGTGCATATCTCATACAATGTTAAATTAGTCAGATAATTACCACCTGAATCTGGTGCCTTCAGTGCCCCTGAGGCTATAGGGCCCCACTTCGCTCAGTTGGTAATTCAGTCTTGGGAATGGTAATCTCCATAAAAACATTTTTTATCTCCACTACTAGATAGTGAGAGCTGAAGAGTGACAGGAAAGGGGGGAGAGAGAGGGGGGGATGACACGCAGCAGAGGGCCACATGTCTGAGTCAAACCCTGGGCCACTGCACCAAGGACTACATGGAGCACTAGCTCTGCCAGGTGAGCTGCCAGGGTAGCAAAAGGTTGCTTTCAAGGATGGGTTAACATTTTTCAAGTAAGTTTTAAACTAATAGTGATCGGTCCGTATTTTCTTTGAAGCAGTTTCGTTCCTTCTCTGCATATTGGCTGTCACTGCAAAAATACCATTCTGAACTCAAAGCTAATATGAGGCTTTGGCAGCTTGGCAAAAAATCCTCTTTCCTGTGTTTCCCTGGACAGTGGTGGAGAAGGGATAGTAACGCAAAGAGGGAATTTATTACTGGCGCATACTGCTTAAGCCTCATATTAACTTCAAATACACTTCTGAATGCACAGGCGGGTGCAGACAGATGCTTTCATACAGGACATAAGGGGTTCACTGAATGGTTTGATGAGAATGAAAATTATGTGAATAATTTAAACACCTATGGGAGAATGGAGAAGTTCCAAAGACTGGGACG